AGTCAAACAAAAGATAGTTTCTCTCGGCTGAAGTCAAACAAAAGATAGTTTCTCTCCATGAAAAGCTCCGCTTGCTGCAACAAAGTCTTGAGAAATCTGAGATCCCCTATGACGATGCGAGGGTGAGGGTGATGAAAGATTTAGAGGCGCAGATCAGAGATGCATCGTTCAATGTGGAAGAAAGGATTGAGATGGAGTTGATTACCATTTATCCAGCAAAGGATAGTCTTCTTCATATAACAGCTTGCCTGCTCAAGCTTCATCATATCTTCAATGAAGCAGAAAGACAGACTGATTACCAGATCAGGGATGGCAATGAAAATCTTGGTTTGCTGCAACAAATTGTTCAGGCTCAGATTAGAGAGATGGAGTTGGACAAAGAAGCCTCATATTCATCGAAGCGTCTTGGTATAAAGGCTTGTCTCCCCAGGCTTTATGGAAAGCAGCAGCTTGCTCGGCTCAGAGAGGTGGGTGAAGTCAAACAAAAGATGCTCTCTCTCCATGAAAATCTTGGCTTCCTGCAGGATATTCTTCAGAAATCTGAGAATGGCAATGATGATGAGGGGGCGATGAAAGATTTTGAGGCAGAGATCAGAGATGTATGGTTCAAAGCCGAAGAAAGGATTGAGATGAAGTTGACTACCATTTATCTAGCAAAGGATAGTCTTCATCATATAACAGCTTGCCTGCTCAGGCTTCATGGAATCTTCATCAAAGCAGAAAAACAGACTGATTACCACAGGAATGAGCTAATTACAAAGGCGGCTTCATCACAAAACGAAAGAATCACTGATGTTTCACTCCTTGGTCGGATCCAACAAAGAGGACTACCACAGCTTGTCAAAGGATCATCACTGCATGATCTAGCACAGCAGAAAAATGCTTCAAAGTCTGATGGTGGAATGGTCGGATGTAAGAAGCTATTCGAGAAGATATTGGATCAGCTGCTCACGCAACAAACAACTAAGGGGAGACAAGTTGTTTCAATTGTTGGCATGGGAGGAATAGGCAAGACAACGTTAGCACACAAAGTTTATGAACATCCATCAATTACTTCTCATTTCGACAAGAGAGCATGGGTTACTGTATCCCAAGAGTATAATGTAGAACAAATGCTTCAATGTCTCCTTAGTTGTGTTACTGCAGCATCAAGAGATGGTGGCCAAGACCAGTTAGCTGAACGCCTACGTAAAGACTTGAAGGAACAAATATATTTGATAGTGATTGATGATATTTGGAACACTACTGCTTGGGATAGTGTGCAAAGATGCTTTCCAAATGATAATAATGGAAGTTGTATACTATTGACTTCTCGACTCAGAGAGGTGGCAGAATATGCTAGCTCAGGTAACTCTCCTCTTAACATGCCTTTCTTAGATGCCGATGAAAGTTGGAATCTCTTTTGCAAAGTCTTTGGTAAAACTAAATTCCTTCTAGTGTTTGAGCTAATTGGTAGAGACATAGTGAAGAAATGTAAAGGATTACCTTTAGCTATTACTATAGTAGCTAGTCTTCTCTCCAAGAAAGAAGAGGAGGAGGAAAAGTGCGAGAATGTTGCAAAAAGTGTAATGGGTGATTCTAGTGATGCATGTTCCAGAATACTGTATTTGAGTTACAATCAATTACCACACCACTTAAAAGTCTGTTTTCTATATTTTGGAATTTTTGAAGAAGACTTTGAGATCTCTGTGAAGAAGTTAGTTAGGTTGTGGGCGGCAGAGGGATTTTTGAGCACGGTGAAGCATGTGAATTTGGAGAAAGTGGCTATAGAATGCTTGCAAGATCTTGTTGATAGAAGTCTTGTTATAGTTAGCAAACATAGCTACAATGGGGAAATGAAGAGAATAAGGATCCATGATTTGTTGCAAGATTTGTGCTTGAGAGAAGCTAGACATGAAAATCTCTTAAATGTCATTGGAGTTAAAAAACCTTGTCGTTGGATAAGTCATACATCAAGATCTCACTATAGTGAAGCCAGGCTTGAAGATGAGTGCTTTCACAAATCTCATTCCTTTCACTTATTTCATTGTTACTATTCTTGGAGTGGGTATGTGAAACATCTATTTTCACACTTGAAACTACTAAGAGTACTTGACATGAGAGATATATGTTGGCATGATGAAGAACGAAATGTGCTTGCAAATCTTGTTCATTTGAGATACTTAGCTTTGTATACCTATGGCTGTTGTCACAAAAACCTCTTTGAGCATTGGAGTAATATGCAAACTTTGATATTTATTGGGAATTGTGATATAGTTTATTCCTATGCAATTTGGAAAATGCCACTATTAAGGAAATTTTGCATTGGAGGAATTTGTTCATTAAAAACTCCATCGATTGTTTATAGAAACTTAGAGAATATATCTTGGTTGGATTCTGAGTTATGTACAAAGGATTTGTTTACAATGATTCCGAATTTAAAAACATTGGGGGTCGATGTTAGACACAACAATGATGATTGTCCAGATTGTTTCAATAATTTTGTGCACTTGGAGCAGCTTAAGAAACTAAGCATCAGAAGTAGAAAGTGGATGGGTGGCAACCTTGCTATATGTAGCATCCCATGGGCAACTAGTTTACCAAATCTTAAGAAGCTCAGCTTGTTGAAGTGTAGTCTGGGGTGGAGTGAGCTGAGCGCTATTAGTATGTTGCCTAATCTGGAGGTTCTAAAATTGATAGATGCTTGTAAAGGACGAAAGTGGGAGACATCTGATGGAGGGTTCCATCGATTGAAGAGGTTGGTAATTAAAAATACAAATTTGCGATGTTGGAATATTGTGGGTGACCATTTCCCTATGCTTGAATGTTTAGAGATAAGTGAGTGCTATTGGTTGGAAGAAATCCCTCGTGGTTTTGCCGATATCATCACACTAGCATTGATTCAGTTAAGTTATTGTAAGAGTTCCCTTGTGGCTTCTGCAAAGTGGATTCAAGAAGAGCAAAACAATTGCTATGGAAATGATGTCCTCCTTGTTTGTAAATAAAATATTAAGGTCTCTTTCTATCCCTCTGATATATCTCTCACCATTTAACATGCACTTCATACTACTTGAATTTTGTATGGCTGATGGTTGCAATGGATAATCATCTATCTGATCTGATCTGTTTTCTTTCACTTCTATCTCTTTTTAAACTTCTGTATCTCATATTTCCTTACCTATCTAACTGTTGTGTGTTGGCCTTTTCTTTTTACTGAATTTATTGTTTCCAGACTTCAAGCGGTAAGTACGTGGCTTTAGGAGAAAGAGAGTGATGAATGAATAGGAGTATGTAGGTATATTGTATGAGCACATATACCTACTGTTTATTTTTTTTTTTTGAGAAAATATACCTACTGTTTATTATGGTGTTATATAATTGAATATAGTGAATTTATAAAGAACAACTAACCAACTACACTACCATTACTATTTGATAGGAGCTGAATTTCCCCAAACCATGAAGCTAAGGCTAAATCTGAAGTGTTTTTTTTTTTGTTTGTAAGCAAGTGAAGTTGTACAGATAATCTAACTTAACGTCTCACTATTTTGTTTCTTCTTAGCCACATACAGTTTACTCATTTTACCCCAGGCCATCATCTCATTCTTAATTCTTAATTCTTAAACACACAAGTTTTGGAGTCTCTGATCTGTACGTACAAAACCTTGATTTTCTTGAGTTGTGTTTCTTCGTCTCAAGTCTCAACTGTTACCTATTTTTGTGTCTAACTTCCTCTACTTCAATCTTCTGGTACGAGATGAGACATATACTGCTTTCCAGAACATTTATTTTCCTGACTTAAAGATAACCAAATGTATTCACCTGCTCATAACATCCATCCTTCAGCCTGTTTATTTTTAAAATTTTATTTTATTTAAAATTATTAAAATAAATTAAAAATATTCCTTCTCATCTTCTCCCAAATACTAAAATATTCCTTCTCATATATAGATGGACAGTACGTGTAAGGCTTATTATAGTAAGGGTATAGATGTTGTCTTAATGTAAGTATTATGTTAAGAGTTTATGTGTATTATGTATTATGTTAGATTATGTGTATTATGTTAGGAGTTTATGTGTATTCTAGTACTAGTATACAATTATGTACATACGAACAAGAAATTTTTAGAGCACACAATGCATGGTGCGTCCTGGTGCAAGATATAATTTGCCAGCTTTTCATAGCAAGGCTAAGGCTTTGGGCCTTGAGCACTTGGGAATTGAATGTCGATCTATATATGAGAAGGAATAATATAATATTTGTGTATTATCAATGCATTGGACAAATATAATGGAGACCATATTTGCTTGCAACGGGGATAGATGGACAATTCACCATCAAAACAGACCACAAGAGTCTCAAGTATCTTCAATTCTAGAGCAAATGATTACAACTGCTATTCAACAAAAAGGAGTGACTAAGTTTTGTTTCTTCTTAGCCAAGTGAAGTTGTATTGTTAATCTAACTTAACCTTTCAATTCACTGTTTTGTTTCTTCTTATTAGCCACAGTTTACTCATTCTTAAACGCAGACAAGTTTTGGATTCTCTGTACAAAACTTTCCATGGGTTTCTAGTTGAGTAGTTTTTCTTCCTCTCAAGTCTCATATTTTATTTATTTGTGTAGTCAAGTGCAGTTGTATATATGCATCCATATAAATATGAATTGACTATCCCTCTGCAATGAGAATAGTCATTTCCACGGCCCTAGGCCCCATAGTATTATCTATTTTTTTTTTGATGAAAAGAGACTTTATTTTTGATTAATAGCGCGATGGAATACAAAGCCCTTGAGATCACACAAAAGAGCCATATTGGCTTTTATAGGTAGAGAATCACCCTCATTAATAATAACTAAATGTATTAAATACCACAACTACCTGACCCTTATGTGTGTTTATTTGACGGAGAAGCGTGAAAGAAGAGTGAAGAGGTTGGCGGTGTATCAAAGGAAATATTATTTGACTTGTTGACTAACCAAGATTACAGAGAGCTTTAAGTATAGAAAGAAGAAGACAGTTATCAGACAGTTATCATAACAAACATATAACAGATCTTGGTGAGACGGTTACACACTGTAGCCTTCTTCCTTTCCTTGCTCACGTGCCTTGTCCTCCAATACCCCCCGTAAGCTGGAGTATGCAGATCATGCGTGCCCATCTTAGATATGAACGTCTGGAACAAGGATATTGGGAGTGCTTTGGTAAAACCATCGGCAACTTGTGCGGCAGAGGAAACAGAGAGTAACTTAACAAGTCCTTGGCTGATTTTCTCTCTAACGATGTGGCAGTCTATATCCAAGTGTTTTGTCCTCTCGTGGAATACATGGTTTTCGGCTATGGCTATGGCCGATTTATTGTCGCAAAACAGCGCTGCAGGTTTGTTTAACTGAGCCTGCAAGTCACGTAGCAGAAACGTGATCCATTGTATTTCACAAACTGTGGCTGCGAGTGCTCGATATTCTGCCTCCGATGAAGAACGGGAGACAGTGGCTTGTTTCTTAGATTTCCATGACACGAGCGCAGAGCCGAGAAATACACAGAAGCCAGTGATGGATTTTCGTGTCTCCAAGCAGGATCCCCAGTCTGAATCAGAGAAAGTATTGAGCTGTAAACTGTTATTTGCAGGGTAGAACAGCCCTTGCCCTGGAGACTTCTTTATATATCGTAGTATACGATGAGCTGCAGCTAAGTGCACATCTGTGGGAGCATCCACAAACTGGCTGAGTTGTTGTATCGCATAAGAGAGATCAAGTCTTGTTGCGGTTAAGTACAGCAATCGCCCAATAAGCCTTCTATAGCCACTGATGTCTGTGATAGAAGTGCCACTGTCTTTGGTTAACTTGTGACCTGGAACCATGGGGGTGCTCACCGGTTTGCAGTGAAGAAAGCATTCTTCAGCTAGGATGTCTAATGCATACTTCCGTTGACACAAGTTTAGGCCAGCTTCGGTTCTATGAGCTTCAATACCCAAAAAATAGCCCTGCTTTCCAAGATCCTTAATCTTGAAGGTCGAGTCAAGGAAGGCTTTGAGTTCATTAATGAGGCACATGTCGGGGCTAGAAATCAAGATATCATCAACATATATGAGGATAGCTATAAAATCCGAACCACAGCCCTTGGTGAACAATGAAGGGTCTGACTGGGCTTGCTTGAAGCCTCTGCTTAACAAGGAACTGCTTAGTTTTGAGTTCCATTGCCGGCTAGCTTGCTTGAGGCCATAGAGAGATCGTAGTAATTGGCAAACTTGCCCCGGTTTCTCCCCTTTGAAGCCTGGTGGTAATTCCATGTAAACCTCTTCATCAAGACTGCCGTGCAGGAAGGCGTTATTTATATCAAGCTGCTGAACATGCCAATGGAGATAACAAAGAGTTGGCGGCCGTCAACGGCGCTGATGAATGAGATATCGCTCCAACATGATAGTGCTCCAATGAAAAATAAGAAAAGAATTCAAAGCTACCTTTAATTCATCCATAAAAATATGCATAAGTTACCGAAAATATAATATTTACAATTAAAAATCCATATAAATTGTCAGAAATATCCTTATTAAATAAAAGAGAGAATATGAAAAAGGAAAAAAAAAAAATAGCCATTGGATCAAGGGAAATAAATAGTCCAGATTAGTCCTCAAGTCTTCATGGAAAAGCGTGCCCTTATTGGCTAAACACACACATTTCTAATAGTATGCACAAAATAATCTTGGGTCACACTTGTGTTAAACCGTCTTACGAATCTTGATCTATGAGAAGTATAGGGTCAATGTAAAAATGCAATATGTATATGGTTAAATGTAATGCTAATAAGGAATAAAGTGTTTGCTACTTGGGAAATTGTAATACTTCTGAGGAAAAGTTTAGTAGTTTTACATTTTGATGTAAAAGTATTACATTTTTCATAAAAAATATTACATTTTTCCTTATAAATAATGTTGGCAAGTGTTTGTTACTTATTAAGGAAAATTTAATATTTTTTAAAATCAAACTGTAAAAGTATTACATTTTTGTTCGAAAGTATTACACTTTCCCATATAAGTAATAAACACTTTATTCATGATTAGTATTATATTTTCTACTATATGTATTACATTTTCATCTTGACATGACTCGTATCATAGGTTTCACACAAGTTTTTGCCAATAATCTTTTATGATATAATCTTATAACTAAAAATAATTGGCAAAAAGTCAAAAACTTGTGTGAGACTGTCTCACGGATCCTTGTCTGTGAGACGGGTCGTATTGTTGACAACTAGGTATATAAATATCACAGTTTTAGTTATACATATTACAATATTTATAATTCGTAACATCAGTTTTATCCCAAATAACATCACAATTTCACATATTACAATATCTAATATAAGTAACGATTTGTTTTTAATTCAATTTGGCATTAAATTTTCTATAATAAGTTTTACAATTCCTTTCATAAATAATATTTCACATATAAATTTTACTCCCTTGATCCAATTTTACCCGTCATGTTTACTATTCATCAGTCAAACCAACTCTTTCTTAATTGCTTAGTTTCTTTAGTACTCTTTATTTTTAATTATTTTAAAATGTAATTTTTTTGTGTGTGTTTAATAGTACTTTTAATATAGTTTCTAAATATATAAAATTTATATATTAATACTAAACTTAATATTATGAAAAACTAAATTCAAAATAACTCCAGTCAAGCCTTGTTATCTGAACCAAACAAACAAAATGGGACAGAGGGAGTACAATATTTACATTAGAATTATACTTTGCATATCATAATTTTAGTTATAAGTATTACAATATTTATCATTAGTAACAATTTACCCTAGATAATATCACACACACACACACACACAATATCTATTATAAGTAACAATTTATTTATTTCAAATCAGTATTAAATTTTCTGTAATAAGTATTATTATTTCTATCATAAATTATAAACAACTTTCATATATTAGACAATCTCAGGGATTAAGATTTATGAGATAGTCTCAACAAGTGTGAGTCAAAATAATGAGACATTTCTTGAATCAAACACATGCTAAAAGTAATGCACTTTTTGCCTAATGATTTTCCTTCCATTTAAAAATTTCTAAATTTTGGTTTTTACGTTCATAATCAAATATTATACATGCGATGATGAGAACCTGTGATTTTCAATTGCACAATCGTTCAAGCATACAATGATGATTAAATATGTCCTCCCAAATGCTCTGTCGGGCCGGAGTGTGGGGGGCCCTTAGGGTTGGTGTTCAACCTTTTTGGAAAAATGATTAAATATGTACATGGAAGAGTTACAATATAACTCAAACTAATAGAGTCCTAATACTCCACCTCAAGCTGAGGGTAGTGAAACAACATGAGGCTTGTCATGAAGAAAAGAGAAACGTGGAGCTAGAAGTGACTTTGTGAAGATATCTGCAAGCTGATCCTTAGTGGAGATAAAATTCACTTGAATGTCACCTGCTGCTACCTTATCACGCAAAAAATGATAGTCAATTTCCACATGTTTGGTCCGGGTATGGAAAACCGGATTAGCACACATGTAAGTTGCTCCAAGATTATCACACCACAATTTAGGCACAGGAATGGGACCAACATCAAGCTCACGCAAGAGGGAAACGAGCCATGTTACCTCATCACAAACATTAGTAAGGGCCTTGTATTATGCTTTAGTAGAAGAACACGCAACCATTTTCTACTTCTTACAAACCCACGAGATGAGATTAGATTCAAGAAAAATAGCAAAACCACTGGTTGACTTACGATACAACAGACAACTAGCCCAATCAGAATAAAAAAAATGCATGTAAATCAACAGATGAAGACTGATGCTGACACATCCCAAGGTGTAAAGTACCCGGCCTTCACATACCTCTGCACCCGCTTCAACTGTGCCCAATGACCTACCGTTGGAGCATGCATGTGCTGACATAAACGATTTACAACAAAAGAGAGATCATGCTGAGTTATAGTGAGATACTGCATTGCACCATCCAGACTTCAAAATTGAGTTGGATCAGAAAAAAGCCTAGCAAAGTCCTCCACAGAACGAGACACTGGAATTGGCGTGGCTAACGACTTAAACTCAGCCATGCCAGCACGTCGCAAAACATCAAACATATACTAACGCTGAGACAGGATCACACCATCAGCTAGTTTGACTACCTCAATGCCAAGAAAGAATCCTAGGGTTCCCATGCCACATATATTGAAAGCAGCAGAGAGTTTGGCCAACAACCTAGCAACCAAACTTAAGTCATTCCCCATAAAGAGAATGTCATCAACATATACCAACAAATAAAACTCAAAGAACCTTGTGAGTAAATAATAAGAGACACATCGGTCTTAAAAGCCCGAAAAAAAGAAAATCCTGAAGGCGATGAAACCAAGCTTGAGGTGCTTGCTTAAGAACATACAAAGATCGTTATAACAAACATACGTGATCAAGAAATCCCTTGTTAACATAGCCTGACGGCTGTCACATATAAACTATTTCTATTACGTGTCTATTTAAAAAGGCATTCTGGACATTGAGTTGACGAATTACCCAGCCATAGGACATAGCCAAAGACAATAAGAGGCGAACAATCGTGATCTTCACCACTGGACTGAACGTGTCAAAGAAATCATAAACAGCCACCTGATTGAACTCCTTGGCTACCACACGAGCCTTATGACATTGAACCATTAGCCTTTCGTTTCGTACGTAAAACCCACTTACATCCAATTACATTCATACATGGGCGGCAAGGCACTAGACGTCAAGTCTGATTTTGAAGAAGAACATTAAACTCAATGTCTATATATAGCAACTCCAGTAACCATAGCATGAGTTTGAGTAGCAAGTAGGCTCAATAGGACATATCTCAGCAGCCAAAGCCACTGAGCTACACCAACGCGAGACATGCTCCTAGTAACCATAGTATGAGTTCTAGTCATAGGCCGTGTGGGAACTGAAGGGCGAGACTAAGGCACGACATTAGACATAATAGGCACTACTGGTACGTGATACTGCTGACACCACCGAGGGCCCTTGAATTGAAGACACAACCCATGGCAGCGATGAAGAACTCATAGGTGACTGTAAAACACACTTAAAAGTAAATGTAAATTAAACACAATCTAGTCAAATATGACATGTCTACAGATAAATATCTTGTTAGTGTGTAGGTCTATATATCGAGACCCCCGAAACGACTCTGGATAACCTAGAAAAACACATGGAGCAAACCTTAAACTCATTTTGTGACGATTGTAAGGACGTAAGTATGGGTAACACATATAACCAAAATCCCAAAGGAAGGACTAAGAGGATGGAGATCGAATAGAGTGAGGACTAGCACTTCCTAAAGTTTGAGAGGGCATTTTATTAATGAGATAGACAACAGACTCAAAAGCAAATCCCAGAAATGAAAAGGCACAGACACATGAGCCATAAGAGTAAGACCTATCTCAACAATGTGGTTGTGCCAACGCTATACACAATCATTATGTTCGTGAGTGTAAGCACAAGATTGTTTGTGAACAATTAATCCCAAGTTTTGAAATACAGAATGTATCTTTTTGTACTCAGCACCAAGATCAAACTAAACAGATTTTATTTTAAAGGAGAAAGAACGTTCAACCATTGCACGAAAACACTCAAAAACATCGTATAAATAAGATTTTAAATGCATAGGATAAAACCAGGTATAACGAGAATAGTCATCTACAAAGATAACAAAGTAACAATAACTACCATAGATAACAAAAGAGTAGGACCCCAAATATCAGTGTATACTAAATCAAACACATGCGAACTGCCACACTGTTGGAAATTACCACGACTACGGGAAGCAGTAGAATTTCATCCTCCACGCTGATGATTACTACGAGACGAGCTGCCACCAAGCGAATGTCTAGAACCACGACGAGAGTTTCCAGAACCACACTGAGCCAGTAAAGCCACTGATGAGGATCGTCCAACCACGACTGGTTCAAAAAATAAATAAATAAAAAAAATCATTAGAACTGATAAATTCATGGGCACCCAGAAAATCAGCAAGCTCCAAGAGCTTCACCAACGTACCGCAAACAAACAATGAAGTAGTGAGAGACCTAAACTCAGGCCAAAGTCCCCGGAAAACATACAAATTCTGCTCGTCGAGGGAGACCAGCCAAGTCCTCCATAATCACTTCAGCTCGCCCTAAGTAGTTCATGATCGAAGCATCACATTGCGCTAGAGTTTGAAGCTATCCGAGAAGATTCAGTGCAAGAGCCCTGGAAGATGAAGCAAGAGCCTGCTCAATGGAATCCC